AACATTTCAGGCAGACACCTGTTATGAAGATGAGATCCAAATATAAAGTTCTTATATTTCATGGAGTTTAATTTCCATCCTGGGGGAGGATGAGGGACCAGGACAGGCAGGCCCTGTGTGGCCTGTGGGCTTCCCCTGAGCGGAGGAAGCCTGTTTTAGGAGAGGGACCTGTGCCTGCCTCAGCTCAGGGCCCAGGGGCTGCTGGGGCAGAGGAAGGAGCACCTGAGTAGCATGTTTTCTCCTCAGACTGGGGGCATGAAGCTCAACTAACTTTCTTATTTGTCCAATGGAGACAATAAGAGCTGACCTGCCTATTTCAGAGTTGTTTTGAGTTTAAAAGAGATCAATACACGTGGGACTCCAAGAAAAAAAAAAATCAACATCTATAATCATCTATAATATAAAAGCATAATGTGCAAATCGACTAAATGGCCTATCCGCGGAATAACCATCCGGATGACCTTCTGGAAAAAGCCGGGGTTGGGGGGCTGGCCGAGGCAGCCAGGACTGCACAGGAGGTGGCCAGGGCTGCGAAGGCCTACCCTTGCATGAAATTCGTGCATTGGGCCTCTTAGTTCTGAATTTAAGATACGAGGCTAGGCTGCGTTTCCCCGAACGCTGACAGGTAAGACAAAGACCTGCAGCTTCCTCCCACGTCCCAGCGGAGAGCAGCAGAGCTGCCTCCGGAGGGTCCCTTTCTGGCATGTGTTTGCAGCCTTCTTGCTGATGCTGTCAGAGTTGTCTTGTACTCAGGAGAGGACAAGAGAAGAGCTTTGGGAATTTGGACGTCTGAAGCCTTCCACTCGGTCTCCAATGCTGGCAGCCCTCCTACGAAGTGAAAACGTTTTAAAAAGCCCAGATGATTTTGTCAGTCTTTTCTACCTCTGGAACAGAGGGTGTGACTCACACGCATCTGACATCAATGTACCAGGTTGTGATGATTTGCCTCATTGTGCTCAGCTGAAGAGTGGCTTCACTCCCCATAACAGGCTGAGAAGGTAAAGCGTGATCTCTGATTGAAACAGAAGGTGGGGGTGGTTGCTTCATGGTAAAGCAATGACAGCTCAAGGTTCTGAGTTTCTAATCCCAAATCTGTAACCTTGTATGTGACACTGGGAGGCTTGCCCGAGGCCTGCAAGAGGACACTTACTTTCTGGGTGCTGGTCACCCCTTCCTTTTTTGTTTTTAACTATTTATTTATTCCTCATCCAGAGGATATTTTCCCATTGATTTTTAGAGAGACTGGGAGGGAGGGGGAGAGATAGACAGAGAAACATCGATGTGAGAGACACATTGATTGGTTATCTCCTGCACTCACAGATGAGATACATGCCCTTGACCGGAATCAAAACCAGGACCCATCAGTCCACGAGCCGATCCCCTACCTACTGAGCTAGACAGGCTAGGGCTGATCACCCATTCTTAAAAGCACTGTAGTAACTCCTTCCTCTGAGAACAGTGTGGGTGGTAACTAGTGGCCAATATTACTCAAGAGAGGGCCATCAGTAAAGACTGCCAAATGCACACGAGGCCTCAAGGAGTACTCAGACTATTACCTAGAGATGCTAGAAAAAAGCAAATTCCTCAGTTTCCAGAAAATTTGTTGCTTTTCCCTTCCAAGTAGGCCATCTACCCTGTCCAGTATGCCCCACATAATTCCTGCGATGATGGGAATCTTTCTATTACTCTGTCCGGAGGCAGCTACCACTTGTGGCTGTTAAGCATTTGAAATAGGAACTAAATTTTATATCTGATATAATTTTAATTAATGGAAATATCTATGTAAACAACCATGTGGGGCTAGTGGCCACCATATTGGACAGCACAACTCTAGCCAATTCAACCCCCCTCAAAGCAAACTGCATGCAAGTGAGGCTGGGAAAGCAGTAGAACATACATGAACTAATTACAGTCTTGATGTTCAAAACAATTTTTTTTTCCACATTGGAAGAAGTGGCCAATATCAAGGTCTGAAGTGAGAGATTACCATAAAATAAGAACAGTTTTCCCTAATCCTCCAGTACTATTTCCTCCCATTTCTTTCATGAATATTAGACTGTGAAGGCATCTAAACTCATTAACACAAAACTAAACTAGATGACTTTAATCTATAGGACAGTGGTCAGCAATCTGTGGCTCGCGAGCCACATGTGTCCCCTTGAGTGTGGCTCTTCCACAAAATACCACGTGCCCTGATTAAGTTAATAACAATGTACTTACCTATATAGTTTAAGTTTAAAAAATTTGGGTCTCAAAAGAAATTTCAATGGTTGTACTGTTAATATTTGGTTCTATTGACTAATGAGTTTGCCGACCACTGCCATAGGACAACTTTTCTACCCAAGGCTGAGAAATAACCAGTGAGATCAGGTTCGAGAGAAACATTAACCTCACTCTGCACCCTTCTCCCATCGCCTCTGAGGAGGTTGACAGGACATAGTTCTGCTGCTGCTGCCCATCCCCAGCCCCCGACTTACCCCTGCGGCTCAATCTCACTCCCTCCCCCACTAGACACGTCAACTGACTACCAACCACTCAAAAATCACAGGCTAAGTGCTGTCTCCTGTTCTCTCCAGACATTCGGTGTCTTTTCTTCTTTTCCCCTTTCATGTAAATTCTGTGGCAGGAAACTCCGCAGAGTATAATACGAGAAGCCCTGAGATCTTCACCTTCGTGCCTTCCTGAAACCTTCCCACGGCCCCTCGAGGGGTTTGAACAAACACTGGCTGTCCTCCCGAATCTATGCCCTCACCCTGGAGGTGAACTGACTCAAACTCTACATGGCATAAAGGATTTATTCTCCCTGCACTTCGCTTATGACTGCCCTGTGTTTTGTATCTTTTTCTTTTTTCCTGAACAGGGCACACGTCAGGTGCTCTAAGCTCTAGGAATGGGACAGGTGTGCAGTCCCTGCCATTCTCTGGGTGCACTGCCCAGCACAGCGTCACAGGCAATCAGGGACTTCCATGCTTCTCGGTCAAGCACCGAAGACTCTCAGGCTCCATGGGATTGTTACAGCTTTGGGATTTTAAGGTACATCCTTCAGTTCAACATAGTCTAGGAAATAATCTACTATTTGCTGAGGGGCGTGGGCTGGGCTTGGTTTTTTCAGGGAAGGACTGCAGAACCAGTCATGTATTTTTCAGGTTGATGTCATGATTATTTGAAGGTTAATACTCAGCCAGCAGCGGCATGACGGACATGGGAGGAAGAAAGCGTGATAAGTAAATACATTGCTGGTCGCCGTTTTCTTATCAACAGTGAGAAGGAAAGAGCATAAACATCTTCGTGCATGAAATAGTCATAGTGCCCTGCTAACGACCAGGATACCGACTGCCAGGCCCATGTGAGGAGCCCTGCAGCGTGTTAGACAGAAAAACGAGGTGACAGAACAGCTTGTCACAGCCGCGCTTCTCCCAGGCTCCGCTGTGTCCCAGCGCCTCTCCCTGTGTCCCAGCGCTTCTCCCTGTCCCAGCGCCTCTCCCTGTGTCCCAGCGCCTCTCCCTGCCCGCATATCTCCCACGGAGGTTCATTTGAAATAGGAAACCATTCATTCTGCCGCCCCCCCCCCCCCCCCGACTTCATCCCCCACTGAAAAATTAACATGTAGATAAATAGAAACTCAATTAAAGTTAAGGTCCAACAAACAATAAAAATCCTCCCTCTTTTCCTGGTTAAAAAGCAAAGCGGTCTGTTTGGATCAGCTGCATCCATCAGCATCGCCGCCTGGCATCTTGTGAGAAATGTAAGTTCTTGGACCGCAGCCCGGGCCCATTGGAGCAGGAACTTTGCAGGTGGAGCAAACGTATTATATCCTCCATGCGATTCTGCACTAGCATTTGAGAACAACTGCTTTAAACGGTGTTGAAATCATCAAAACTATTCTTCTCGGTGTTGTAAGAAAGCGCACGAAGTGAATATTCCTGAGGTGTCAAGCCTTTCCCAATTCTAGAATTAAGGTCTGGCCAAGCACTGAACAAGTCCAGCCAGGAGTCCTAGCTATGAGTTCCAGCACTTCTGCATGCCCTGCGACCTGGGCCATGAGCACCTCCCCGGCGGCTCGGCTCCTGGAGCCGGCTGGGCGGGCGCCTCTGAGCTGAGCCACTAGGGCTCACTCCTCTGTTGCATGATGGGAGATGAGGGGCTCAAAAGGAGGGATGGGGCGGGAGGGGAGGGGCAAAGGGGAAATCTATGACTTTTCCATCAATTTTAATCATTCCTTTTTTTGAAGGGAGAAAATATTTAGTACTGTTCCATCACTATTTCACGAATAACAACCAAGGGAAAGACTGATTATACAATTTTTAAAAAATAGGGCATCTTTGCAGATACCTGCTTGTCAGCTGCCCTGAGGGGTGCATCCTTCACGGTGATGAGGTGATGACGGAGGACCGGATCGAGTTTAGGTAATTCACTGCTGGCGTGAGTCTGCATGCTGCTCAGATCTTTGACCCCCAATGGCAATGCTTATTAATCAGTATCTCCCAGTCACAGAAATTCCAACTTTACCCTATCCCTTCCCAGTCCTCTGTAAGTACCATTCAGGTTGTAAAGGGAATTATTAAGACTTTTTTGTCCAAATGATTCAAAAACTTGCACATTTCTGTTTGATAATAGAGTCTGCTCACGGAACCTGGTTTTTGGGCGCCCCAAGAACACAAGGACAAAAAGTCAAAGCACCAGGCGCATAACAGCATCGTATGATCCCCCCTACCCCCCCCCCCCCAAAAAAAAAAAAAAAACACACAAAAAAAACCTCCATCAGAAGAAAAATGCAAAGTCTCCTCGGTAACTTTTCTCACTTTAAATCACACCTCTCATCACGACCTGTTACACCCACACAGTCATGTGCCGCAGGCACCGCGCACCCTCTCCAGCATTTCAAAGGCTCAAAAAGCTATTTTTAAAGCCAAAAATGCAATCTAGGTTGCTATTCTATAAAGCACTTGTTAAGGACGCACAAAGTAGGATAGTGATTTTCATGCATGTGGGCCACTCACCAAACGACTGAATGCAGCTGTCGATGAGATCGTCCAGGCTGGCTCCTTTGGACAAATGTCCCAGAGACACCATCATCCGGAACTGGGTGATCTGGGCCAGGCTGGGATGGGAGGGGAAGGGGCTGCTGGCTGGCTTCGCCTCTAGTTTTGCTTTCGGGGCAGCTCTGCAGCCATGGGAAGGTTTCCTGAGGGAAGAGAGGAGGCAGTGAGCGCAAGCGGAGTGGCCAGAGGGGAAGGAGACCCCGGCAGCTCCACACTCTGAAGGCAGATTAGAGAGGGAAGGACTGGAGATAAAACAATTAATCCTGGGAGTTGGGCTGATAGAAGATACACCCCTCCCACTTGGCAGATGCACCAAACGGACTGGTTGGCTGTTAAAGAGACATTTCCCAAGCAAACAACAAGGTGAGATTTCAGGGCTGCAAGTAGGGCTGGTCCTCTGGGGGTTGGGACTGCTTCGGCCTGCTGTCTCCTTTGCCTGAGGGGAGAGGCAGAGGCAGAGGCAGAGGCAGGGCTGCTTTAGCTGTCCTCCAGTCCTAGCAATACTTTTCCATCTCAGCCTCGAAGCCACTGGCTTGGGTCTTGAGAATTGAGTTTCAGATGACCTCATCTTTGACTAAATTCATTCATCGTGAGCAACACCCTATAGAAACTCAGATGGCCTCAAAAACATCTTTAAGGACTTTTTTTTTGGGGGGGGGTGTCAAAGACAGGACCGGGTGCAGGGAGCAAGAAGGGGGGGAGGGGAGAGGATGGTGGTATTTAGATTTTAAGCTAGTCCTGCCTTTCTCACAAATGTTGGTGGGGTTTAAGATTCTGTCTTTCATGATTGATAATACAGCTAATCATTATGAGTCATTTTTATCATTAAATACCATTCCATTAAGCCTGTACTTGGGTCCTTACCTGTTGGGGGAGGAAGGGGTGTGGAGGGGCAGAACTCATGAGAGCTTCATGCCAGAACTGAATCTAAAAGAGCACGCCTGGATATGGAAAGGCTTAGGAGTGCCTACAGGTCACCTCTGTCCACTCCCACCTAGCTTTTCCTTTGATCATGACCTCACAGTATAAGTCACGTTGCTTGCAACATGATACGTGAAGGTTAACTGAGCATTTTGTTTTCCCTTCCATTAAAAAACATAAACACACACACACAGGCACATTTCCATCATCTCTGAAGATTCACTAGTGATGGGTCTTGTTACTTGTAACTTCTTTGAGCATATCCTTAACTCTTCCCTCCCCACCGGGCCTGCTTATTTCTCAGTTTACACAAAGGAGGCAAGAAGCAAAGGAAAAAGAAACATGCCTCAGACTCATAATGTTAGCAGTATACTCCCTCTGTGCTTTGCTGAACACACGAGGGCACCCATCAATCAGTAAGTGCTTATTCCATGGGTAAGACATGGTGATGGGTCAGAGAAGGCCAGTAGGACAGTCGATGCATGTGAGGGCTCTCTGTGAACTGGAAATCATACTAACTACATGCTAGCTGATGCTGTCTAACCGTCATCTATCTCTAAGTTCTTCACTGCACAACTCTCGTTGGAGAATCATACCCAGACCAAGGAAAGAGCGCTCTATCCATCCTCAGTGCTCTGTGAGTGAGAGGGGAAGGGCAGTGATGTGCTCAGAGAAGGGGGAGCCAGTTGCAGCTAGAGTGTTGGGGAGGGTTTCTCTGACAAGAAATCCCACCCAGGAGAGGCTAAAAGAGCACTGAAACCAAAATGAAACACTGGGGCATACACAGCCTGTGAAGGAAGACTGCTGAACGATGGGGCCTCTCAGGACACAGACAGACCTGTGGAAGGAGCATTTCACAACCACTGCAGGGTGCTGGGTGGGCTGGCAGTGGTTGCTGAGCTCCATTCCTACCAAGGGTGGTCCCAGGGAAACTGCAAAACTGAACCAGTCATTGGCTATTAGGAATCTACTGACCAGAGGCAGGGATTTCTGAAAGGTGGTGTTACAGGATTTTTGGCCATTACTGATTTTTACCCTGGGTCTAAGATAGCCCCAGGAGCAGATCAGTCCCTGAAAATGAGAGGAAGTCATAATGGCCACCATGGATTGGGAACCTACGACAGGGCAGGCACTGGGCTGGGGATCTGCATAGTCTTTAAAGCGTATATCCCAGAGAGACCTCATCTCCATTTCGTGATGCTGAAACTGCGTCTGAAAGAGGCTAAATGACTTGCTCAAGTACAACTCCTCTGTGCTAGATCTGAGGTTTGTACGGGGTGCCTCTCTGGCTCTATTTGCTAATTCGAGATTTACCGTGCCTGGAACTACACACTTGTCACTCTATCAGAATGAGCGAGAGAGGCTGGAAGGTCAATTCAACCATAAGACAAAAGTAACATCCTCTGGCATCACAGCTGATCATATAAAGGCTGGATCTGGGATCCTCCTCCTGCCTGTGCCTGGGGCAGTCCTCAGACCAGAGGCTGCCTGGGCTCTCCATGGACATCTCTGAGCCCTTCACTGGATGTGTGTGGGGGTCCAGGATCAGGAGGGCAATGGGACAGGCCACCAGTGCAGAGACAGCCAGAAGGCAGGCCCCCTGTGCCCACCGGGGTACCTTGCCCTTCCAGGAGGCACTGACAGTCTCCAAACCCAGGGCTGGTTGACAGCTGTTGGGATTAGTCAGCTTTCTGCCCTAGCGGCTGCCTTTTTACCATGAAGATCTCCACCAGAGGCGGAGTTGGGAAAGAGAATAATAAAGTCCTTCTCAATACAGCCACTTTTTCTCTTAGGCCTTCCAGTGCCTCTCTCTGACTCCTGGAGAAGGGGAACCTGCAAGCAGAGGCTGGGCTTCCACACACGGCTCTCCCCTGGGGGGGCCTGGAGGTTTCTCCCTCGGTCTCTCAGCTGGTGGATACAAGGAAAATGCCACTTTCTCTCTCAGGCGGTAGCAATGATCATTGAGGACCCTGAAAACTGCCTTGGTTCTGATTGTAGTGATGGTTCCTCATGTCAGCATTAACAGAAACTACTTTGGTTTACAAGGTGAAATGCTTTTACCGGAACTAAAAAGGACTGGGGTAGATTCAAGTAGAAAGAGAAAAACGTGAAGGGAGTTTTGGTGTGTGTGTGTGTGTGTGTGTGTGTGTGTGTGTGTGGGTGTGTGAAAAATGCAACCTGGGAACTATAGAGCCCAGAGAGATTTGAGGGCCCAGGGGCATGAGAAACCAGTGAAGAGAAGAACTACTAGAAACCAAATTGTGACCTGAGAGGTCTAGGGAGAGGGTTTATCTGAACCAGGACCTGGGGAACTCAGCTCTTCTGTGCAGTCTCTTGACTGGCTACTTTGTGACAAACCTTCAAAACTGTCTCTTCCGGTGAAATGGCTGCACATAGGATTAATAAAAGACTTCTCTATAGTCAGGTCTTGAAGGTGTTGTAACCCATAGAACAATAGACCTACTAATCTTCAGAGGCTTATCTTTCAAGAATAGTAGCCATTCCCTTGTGAATTAAAAAGTACACAAAACAAACAAACAAACAAACAAAAAAATCCCTAAGAGAAACAAATTAACTTAAGGTGGTTGCTGAGGCCAATATTGGCTAAGGCCTGGTGAAGGTAGCTGAAGGACACGGTCAACACTCAGAACCGGTTCAAATGAAACCCTCTCCAGGCACAGGTTGGCCTCAGTGGAGGTCACACTATAAGGTTCAACTTTGTATGGCAACTCCCATAGCTTTCTTTGCCGGGCAAGGAGGCTTCTATTGGCTTCCAGCGAGGATTCCTCCCAGGCCTGACCATCCCCTTCCCCAAAAGGCTCAATTTAAAGTACGGAGGCCCTTCGCCTCCATCTAGTGCAAGGTACAGTGTCGGACCCTCGGGGACACAGGGCGGGTGCATAAAAGACCTAGGACCCTTAGCTCTAGACAGTCCAGCAGGGCAACGCTTCCCGCGTCTTTGGGCATGCTTGTGCAGCTGGGCATAGCCGGCACGTCACCCAGAGTCCATGTGGACAGATGTGGGGAGTGCGCCACGTGCCCTTCCCTATGCTGACCAGGCCCCTGTCCAGCCAATTCCAGGATTTTGGGGGGACGAACTCAAAAGTACCTGGCACTTCCAGGCCTCTTTCTCCTCACAAGAGCTTTTTCTCTAACGGTCAACTCTTCATATTCTGCACCCAAGACCCCCCTGAAACATCTCTCCGGAGTCACAGTAGGGTGGAGGGGAATACAGGCAGTGGGGAATACAGGTTTTCCCCCAGGTTCCATGGTTCCCTGACCTCTGCTTGTTCCCTGCAAGCCCTGCCGGCCTTCCTGGGCCCTCCCGAGACCCGCAAGGCCGGCAGAGGCCGCCAGGTGGCGCCCCGGAGCCCGGAGCCCCAGCAGGTGCGGGCGTCCGGGAAAGTCCGCGAGTGGGAGTCCCAGGTGCGGGGCAGCGAGGAGCGGGGGGAGGAGGCCGGTCCCTGCAACCCCGGAGCTCGCCGGGCGAACTCTGGCCGCACGACCCAGCTCCCTTCCCCATTTCCCCACGCGCGGAGCTGGGTGCTCCCGGCGCGACCGTCCCCTGCGTTGGTCTCCGCTGCGCGCATCTCCCCTGACAGGAGCCGAGACCTCAGCCTGCCGTCCCCATGAGTCGCCGGCAACTTCCCCTAGAAAGGACTCTCGTGTCGTCCGCCCCACAGTCTCCCCCCAAGAGAGGCCTCCGGAGGCTGCCCGCACCCCGGCCCCCGCCCCGATGAAGGACCCTGGCGCCCCGAGGGCCTGGGCCGCTACTCACCGCGGAGCCTCTCGCGCCTTGCCCAGGGTGCCCATGGCCGCGGCCGCGCGTGCGGACGGCTCACCTAGCGCGGCGGGACGGGCTCGGCGGGGCGCATCGCCTCGGCACGGCCGCCGCCGCCGCCAGCGCGGCCCTCGCCCCGGGCCTCCCCGCCCTCGGGCCGCCCACCCGCCGCTCCGGGAGCCGGCGAGCCGCCCGCCGCCGCACAAACTTTGTGCGCGCGCCCTCCTCCTGCCTCCGCCGCGCGCTCCCTCCCGGCCCCGCGGGCACGCCCACTGATGCTATCGCCGTAGGAGCTGAGCGGCGGCTGCGGCTCTTTGCCGGTCCCTGCCCCCAGCACCGGGTAGTGCCCGGAGGCCAGCACCTTTCCCCGTCCTCGCCTCTGGCCCCAGCCCTCTCCCTCTCCCAGCCCGACGGTGCGGTCCAGGGGAGCAGGAGGGCGGGGGAGGCGCCGGGTGCCTTGGATTTCCCCCCCAAACCCGCGGCTGGACAGCAGGTGTGCGCCCAAGGGCACCAGCTTCACTCAGCAGCTCTCAGGGGAACACACTCCCTCCCTCCACCCTCCTCACCCTGTCCTTCGTCCCCCCAGACCCCTTGTCGTTCTGTATTTCAGCATGGCTCCTGGGCGCCTCTTATGCTTTCCCAGGCCTCTTAAAAAAACTATTTATTGATTAAGGTATCACATATTTGTCCTCATTTCCCCCATTCCCATCCCAAACCCCTCCCTACGCATGCCCCCATCTCCCTGTTGTCCATGACCACTGGTTAGGCTCATGCATGCACACAAGTCCTTTTTTGTTTATATCAGAGCTCAGCGCTAGGCTGGGTAAGGCTTTTGTGGACTTGCGCCTTTGGGTGTCTTCTTGGTAGCAATGTGCGAGACTGGGCTGGAGATACTTGCACTGTACCGTGCAGGAGGTGGCGGGTGTGGAGGTGAGCTCTGGGGCCCTGATGAATATCTGATCTGGTGGGAGACAGCTGCCTGGCCTCTGTAGGTGTAGGAGATGTGGGGGGAGGGAGACAGGTGGGGAGGGGTGGAGAGAACTTTGTGACAGCAGACCTGGCCAGGAATGGTGGCCAACCACTGCTTCCAAGTGATGATAAGGATAGCTAGTGTTCATTGAGTGCGTTTTGCTAAGTGCTTGCTATGCATTGCCTCATTTAACCCATCTCCCCCAAATACCAGGAGGTCACTATTTTAAAGATGAGAAAATTAAAGGTTAGAGAATACTATGCCTTCCATTACACAACTAGTAAATAGCAGAGATAACCAAGACAGGGCTGAGATCTGACACCCTGTAATCACTGCTGGACTGCCCTGATAACAGCATTATCACTGTCACACGCCATAACTATAGACTCCTTCTGCAACTTCACTAATACATTTCTTTATATTTATATGCCATCTTGTCCCAGTAAATGAGTATTCAAGATAGCTTATGTACATAAGCTACAAAAGAAGTATGAAAACGTACAGTGAAAAATAAGGTCTATAGAATGGAGTCAGGGATGAAAGTAGTTTTCTCAAAATGCACCCCATGGAGTCCAATACCACTTGCTACAAGTAGGTCGAAAACTTGTCTCCAGAATTTCTAGCGGTCAAGTTCAAAAGAAAAGACTTACCTAAAACAATTCCTAACACATGCAAGGCAAAAAAAGAAGGAAAAAGAAAATTGCTTAAGAGAAGATCAACTATCCTTGATACTGAGACCAGAAAAAATGGGGTGATAGAAAGAATCAAGTCCTCAGTTACAGCATATATAAAGAAGGGTAGGTGGATGTTTAATAACTATTAAATAATGACACTCTTCCAGAATCACACTGTATATGCATATGGCTGTATGCAAATGGTAAACATATACCTTTATGTAAATGTATAACTACATGTAAATGTATGTATATGTAGATAGATAGACCATTTGCTGAATACATAGTACTAAGCATACATGTAAGGCAGTTACACACATCTATAACCTGCTGTCCATTAGGTGGATAAGTATAAAAATTATTCGTTCATTCAGAGACAAGCCTTGCTGAGTTTTGTAACTAAGGAGGCCTGATTCTGGCCGGAAGTTTCCCCCTCTCCAGCTTTCTGAGTGAGAGCTCTGCACTCTAGTTGCACCTGATTCCGTTTCTCAGCCCACCTGAGCTCTTTGATGAGGCTTCCTGGCTACTCCTGCTTGAGCAATTGGTCTTTTCAGAGATCAAAAAACTTAGAAGTTAGCTCCCTATCTTTTTTCCTTTTCGCCATGAGGTTAGTCTCCCTGGTATTGTCTGAGGTGCCTCTGACTTTAAGCACAAAGTTCATTTCTCTTGTTCTCCTCTCTTACCTTCTCTTCTGCTTCTCTAACCTCTTGGATGGGCAGTAGTCAATGTCTGTAGCAGTTTAGAAAGGTTGGGGACCACTCTCCTCCTCTGCCTGCCCATTGGGTGAGCTCAGTTTGTGGGAATCTCTGTCATTCTTTTGCTTTTTTGCTTTTCAATCAGGCATTCTCAATTGATGTGCATGGACTTTTATTTTGCTCAAATTAAGTGTTTTTATTGCCTTCCATAACTTCATCAGGACCCACATGACTATAATGTTCGAACACACAGCCTTCAAATCTAACATCCACATTTATATCCGACTGGCCACCTCCTTTAATCATTGCCTCAAGACACCCTCTCCACTTCTTGGCCCCATTATCTCAGAATCTGAACATGTGTTATAGTTTCATAACTGCCCCCTCTCCTGATTTACCTGATCATGCATGTCTCTGCTTTCAAATTGCCTAGGGATCTTCAGTTACCTACAGAATGGGCCTTGCCTGTCCCCTCTGATCTCCAGCCATGCCCTCCCACGCACCTGATCTCTTAGGTTGCACCTTGGTCACTCCTTATAATTGCTGTGAACTGTACCCCTGCAAGCCTTGGTGCTTTTGATTGTGTACTTCCTTCGGCCTGGTAAACACACAGAGGTTTAGTTATAACACACGCATGTCAAACTGGCAAGTCACCGGTGGGGGCACACACAGGGTGGCCTCCCAGGTGCGGTGGTGTGCGGACTCACCTTTCAGAATTTTCCTGAAGACTCTTGTGCTTTGAGAGCCTACTGGCTACCACAGCTGCTGGAAGCCAATTCCAGCATGTCATAATTGCAAGAGTTTCATCAAAAGGTTGATGGAACTTGGAGACTCAACAAGGGCCGAGTCACATATGTTATCGTCTGTTGGGAATGGCTTAAAGGCATTTCCCCAAACCTGAAAAGGATGCATAAATTGATTGCTTGCTGCCAGACAGCTCAGAGCATCTTAATCTACATGTTATTGCCTCCTCCTGGCCAAACAGCTGGAGGTAATTCTTCTGATCTTACAATGGATTCTTTACCTAACCCTACCCTTTGATGTGTATATCTCCATCTTGCCTTAGGACAACTTGTGTTAATAAATAGCAAGGGACCCTGAGACAAGGAGAACTTAAAACTTAGCACCTTTGGCTAAGTTTCCTCTGCCCCCCAAAATGCCTTTCACAATTATGTTTCATCTCTGGACTCTTATTTAATTTACGTACAGCCCTTTTCCAGATTGCTGAACCCTTCTAGATGCTGGATCAAGACCACCGGCGTTACACAGCTTCCACTCTGTTGTTTACCATGGGTTCATTCATATAGGATATATTCACTGGTGCCTACTGAGGGTTAGATGTCATCCTTGTCATCGAGAATCTGGTAGAGAACAAGACAGATAAGATCTTTGTTCACGGGAGCTTACATATCTAACAAGTAGATGGTAACCAAGTCAACAAGTAAGCAAACACACCACAGTTTTACACCTTGATTTCTAGGAGCTGACACTTGAGAGGCAGGTTACCCCTGCCCTTGTGGGGGATACCATCATGTATCCCATTTGGGGCCCCCACATGGACCTGCAAGCTGAAAACTGCCACATTTAGGAATAGAGAGCTCCAGTGGAGAGTGGAGAGATATAGAGAGGTAGAGAGTGGAGAGGGTATGGCCCCACCCTTCACTCTCTTACTGAGTGCTGCCATGATTTCTGAGACAGGAGAATTGGCCTTAAATATTTCATGATTGTGACTGCTGCCCTGCACAGCTGTGCATTGAACACTGAGTTCCTGCTGCTGCTCACCTTGGACCAAGGCTAGAGGAGCTTCTCCTGTGAGAAGAGACTCCTTTGGCTCCAGACCTGTGGTTGTGGGATCATAGTTGGATGCTTGTTTCTTTGTCCTGGACATCTTCTCCTGGACCCAGCAGCAAGCCGCTCTGGCCTCTCCATTTATGGGCCAGCTGTTTGAGAAAATGTCTGTCTCCTTGCAGTAACCCCAGAATTCTCCAAAGGGAATTTTATGATTGCCCTATAAATTACATTTTGAGATAAATCATCCTATATACAAGCCCAAACTGTAAATATACATTTCTTGTTTTCAGCTGCTTTGAAGGATGCAGGGCATCTCTGTGAAGTCCCCAGAGGCCCATCACAGCCCATGTTTTCGGTGAGATTAGTCTCAAATTTTGGAAATATTTTAGGATGCTAATACAACAAACTAATAGAAAGACATGTTGTCTCATGACTTTTACTCCTAGTAGGGTAGGAATCACTGGAGGGCTTTGGACAGATGAGGGACCGGATCTGACATCTGCTTTACAGGGCCTCTCAGGCCAGGCTGCGGAGTCCCTGAGCGACTCCTGGGAAGTAAGGGCAGCAGGCTCTTGGTGAAGCACCTTTATAATTGCCAACTGGGTGGGTCTGCCAGGTTGGTGGCTTTCAAATGGTTGTGAACATTGCTCCATGGTAAGAAGGGTACAGGCACACTTTACACTCGGACTCAGGTAAAACTGAAACAGGCTGTGAAGCAATTGTTACCCTGGCTGCATGTGGTCTCTTCTGATCCTGTTATGTTTTTAAATTTTGTTTAGTGACATTAAAAAATAAATGCTGGTCTGGCCCCCACCCATGTGGCTCAGTTGGTTGAGTGTCTTTACCTGCACCAGGGTTGTGGCTCAATCCCCAGTTTGGGGCTTGCAGGAGGCAGCAGATAT